GACACGAATGATCGCTTCCTTCGAGTTAAGTGATATTTCAAGTGCATATTACTTATAACACTATTATGGGTCAATGCTCCAGAAAGTAGTATCTTGAAACTTACGAAGGCTTCACCTCCGGTTTTGGTTTACCAGGGATTCAGCAATTAAAGGCAGTTGGCACGATAAATCCCCCAAGACGAGTAGGATTAATACGCCTGGCAGGACGGAATTCCGCGACCCTGAGCAGGCGCTGCATAATGCCTTTTCCAAGGGAGGTGCCCTTATAAGGGCCCTATCAAGCCACAACATTCCGACCCAAACGCCCGCCCGCCCGCCCACAAATGGACGACCGTTCCTGACGCTCTAATCGATTCATTTGCTAAGCAAATTATGAAGCGAAGGGATTGGTATGAAGCGGCCGTGATGCTGCATGGATATATGAGTACACATATGCAGCCGTACTTCGGTAGCGGTTATTGGCAAGATGCCTACAGGAAACTCGTCCGAAATTGATTTCTAACACATTGAGAACGGAGGCTTTTTCTTCGCAGGATTTTGACCGTTTCACTCCGTTCTTTCGCCATTTCCCCACTATATAGCGCCCTACTAGCATTTTAGGCCGAGCACCAAACCATCGTGCCAACTGCCTTTAATAGCGTACCGCAGTAATGATGGCGGTTGGATGCGTTCGAGTCATTCCAGCGCAGTGTTCAACTTCAATATAAAGTATAGTTGGGTGGGCGCTGGGGTGTAACAGAAATCACACCAACTGAAGGTTGGAAAAGAAGAAGAAAAAAAAGCGAAAACTGAAATCCAAAAAAACCCTCTTCTCCACAGCTGACTTTGAGCTTCGTACGCACATGTGGATAAGACGTAGTGCGCTCAGAAGAGAAATTGGACGGCATGGGCGAGGGAGCGTAACGCCGTCCACCCAGGCATGCCCATTAGCTCGTGCATCAGTAGCCGGCGTAAGGTCACTAGTTGTAGCAAGCAAAGGAGACTTTCATTCCTTTTCTACCCTCAATCTATTTACACTGTTTACAAGGCTATAGTACAGTGCGCGAGTTGAATTAGTAATTTTGGATGATCTGTGGAAAACGAGTAAAAACGAGTTTTTTCCCCTAGTTTGGATAAGGTGGGCTTGACCGTACACTTGAAAACAATAAAACTACTAATGTAAACAGCTGATCCGTAGAAATGTTTGGTGAAGCTTGTTTTAAGCAAGACAGGTTGCGTGCTGTGAGTGAGTCGAAGGAATGCCAGCAATGGCAGAAATCGACCAATAGTTTTGCATTAGAGGGCATTTCTACAACTCCGGTATTCTACTAATAGCTAGTGGAAAGTTACACGTCACACCTATGGAGACCTGGAACTCCTGTAAGGCTACAACGCCCACATTGACTGATTAGCTAGCCAGGAATCGCGTTAGTGTTTTCAGTGAGCATCTGTAGCGATCAACAACGAATGGCAAATAGCACATTAAATGAAAATCGCAAAAATAACATACGGCTATCCTCTTACCAGTTTTTCAGTTTTTCACCAACTTCATGCCATCTCTCTTCTGAAATTTCTCGAAAAAGGTTCGCGCTAAAAGTTTGCTGTGGAAGGGGAGGTAGCTTAATAGTACGCATGAAATAGGCAAAATAAGAAAATACGAAATCAACCATCACTCCCACCACTCCTAGACAGCCAGAAAAAGTAAATACGACCCCCCCTCCCAACAATGAGCAAGTACGACCCCCCCCTTTTTACAACGTCCGTGAAGCGAGAAAAATCAACTATCAAAATAAATTTTTCCCAGCCCAAATACGACCCCCTCTCCTGGCGGCCAAATACGACCCCCTATTGGGGATTCCCCAACAACGATGTGCCCTGTCCCATTCTCCCAAATTTTCTCCACTCTCGTGATGAGGAACTGAGCCAGATTTACTACTGCATTGTTCAATGTACTGAAACTGAGTCATCCGGATTCCGGAAACAGCAAATCCCTCCCCATTCCGCAGATTCTTATACCAAAGGTGAAACGGGGATTTTCTCTTTCAAAAATACTGAGATTTCTCGAGAGTAAAACTGATTGAGAGGGCATTCCACTTTAGCAATAAGGAATACAATTTCAGGAATCGATATAGGGCTGGGACCCGGTGAGAAGGGTCACGCGAGAAGAACTCAATTTGATATCACCGTCGCCAGCGAGGTAAGAGTTTACCGCATAGCTCTGTCAGGGGCGGCTTTTCATCCATTTCATCTTTGATAGAAAACTCTTGAGAATGCTGGTTAGCGGTAAAACCTCATAAATTAAGGTTTGCCTTATGTTTCCTTTGACGAAGTTTAGATTATGGCGATTTTGGCGCTCACCACGTCTCTCAAGGACATGCGCGAACGAATCAGTAGAATTGTGATCGGCTCCGACACTCATGGAAAGGCCGTGACAGCTGATGATATCGGAGTGACCGATGCCCTTACGGTAAGGTCTTGTTCCCATATGCGATTCCATGGGTGATTGTTGAAAATGTTAAGCCCTTTGCAGGTGCTGATGCGAGACACAGTGCGTCCAAATCTGATGCAAACACTCGAAGGAACGCCTGTCTTCGTGCATGCAGGACCATTCGCCAACATCGCCCATGGACAAAGTAGTATTCTTGCGGATAAGGTAGTTAAGGACTGGTTCTTAAAGACATTAAAGATACAGAGTACGATAA